ATCTTTACTTTGTCATTCAAAATTTATTTTTTCAACAAACAAGAACATTTTGAAAATGATGATTGTTTTAGAAGTATGCAAAAATTTAACAGACTATCAGTAGTTTGTAAAATGTTGTTCTGTTTTACATAAAAATCTAGTGATTTAACATGTTTTGCACAAACTTTGTTGTTTATGTGTTTGAATAAAACATGTCAATTCTGATCATTTTTAACACTTGTCACATTGCCATGAAATAAGTGATGACGCGGAATTAGTGATGTTCAGTATAGTTGGTAAGTATACAATTTAAGACAATTAGTAGTTTGTTCATAGTACAGAGGAATTTATTTATAAAATTTCACAAGCAATGTCTTATTGCTTTACAAAGGGAGATAATTCAATCATTCAATACAACTTTGTAAACATTTATTTTGCCATTGTTATCTCCCTTGAAATATTAAACACAACAAGAACGTGTTTGTTAAACACAAATGCCCCCGGCTCAGATTCTTGTCAGTAGCAATATTTCAAAAAATGTTTACCCATTCACTCAGTTAAGGACAGAAAAATTGCCAAAAAATTGTAAACACAAGTAATATAGCTTGACAAAGTCATAGCATTTTGTAATTGTGAAAAATATAAGTTGCCAAGTCATTGTTCTGACTTGTGAAGATGAAAAATATTCAACTTCATGCAAGTTATCTTCCTATCGAATATGAAATACATCTGTCATTAAATAAAGGCTGTATGGGCAAAAGTGTAAAAATCTATTTTTAGCACTGGTGACCTTTACCAAACTGACCCCTAACTCTATCCAAAAGAAGAATACCATGTTAGCTATCTTCCTACCAAATATGAAATACATCTGTCAATAAATAAAGGCTGTATGGGCAAAAGTGTAAAAATCTATTTTTAGCACTGGTGACCTTGACCCAACTGACCCCTTACTCCATCCAAAGGAAGAATACCATGCAAGTTATCTTCCTACCAAATATGAAAGACATCTGTCAATAAATAAAAGCTGTATGGGCAAAAGTGTAAAAATCTATTTTTAGCACAAGTGACCTTGACCCACTGATCCCTACACCAATCAAAATGATGACCATGCAAGTTATCTTCCTACCAAATATAAAATATATTTATCACTTGATAAAGGCTGTATGAGCAAATGTGTAAAAATCTATTTTTAGAACTGGTGACCTTGACCCAACTGACCACTAACATCAAAGTTTATGTTTCTATCAATTATAAATAACATCTGTCTATAGAATAAGGTCAATACATCTGTAAAAATGTAAAAATCAATTTTAACATTGGTGACCTTGACATTGGTAACATTGACCTTGACCCAAATGACCCCTTACTACACCCAAAGAAGGAGGACCTCCCATGTATGTATTAAACTAAAACATCAACTAAAATATAAAGGCTGTATGAGCAAAAATGTTTATATTTATTTTTTAAACCAGTGACCTTGACCTTGACCCTAGAGACCGCTTACTCCACAAAAAATTAGAGGACCATCAAAGGTATCCACCTACTAAATATGAAAGATATCATTAAAGAAATTAAGCAATTAGGAGAAATTTAAGATAAATCCAACTTGCCGAAATAGGTTAACCAGACAAGGCCCTATTTTCAAAGTGAAAAAAGGGAAATAACTGGGAAATATGGATGACACAGTTATATAACTAGGCAATATCATGTTCTTTGTATTGATAAGTAAGTGTGGAAATTATAAAGCCATTTGTATAGATAGAACTTAAGATATTTCCAACTTGCCGTTTTAGGTTAACCATTATTCATTTTCTAAGTGCTGAAAAGGGCCATAACTTGGTAAATATGAAAGCCAGAGTTATGTAACTTGCCCAGATCATGTACTTTGTATTGATTAGTGTGTAAACTTAGAAGCCATTGGTACAGGTAGAACTTAAGAAAAATCCAACTTGCCGTTCTAGGTTAACCTCGTACGGACAGACGGACGGACGGACAGACGGACAGTTCAATCACTATATGCCCGGGGGCATAAAAAAAAGTATATGAACTTATACACTACACAAACAAAAACAATTTCTATTTATCTAACCTTATTAACTTCATTCATTCATTCAATGAATCAAGCATTCATTCATTCATTTCTATCTATCAATCAATCATTCAAGCATTCATTATTTCACTGTTAGAAAACATTTACTACAATGTACTAAAAATATAAATATAAATGAATTTATAAAATGTAACTAGGTTTATACATATGTGTAAAAAAACAATCATCTATATCACAGTTATGTCTATTATAACTAATTATATATAAATATATATCACAAGAAAGTTCCATTTCAAACTAAATTTGAGCCGCGTCACGACAAAACCAACGTAATGCGTTTGCGACCAGCATGGATCCAGACCAGCCTGCGCATCCATGCAGTCTGATCAGGATCCATGCTGTTCCCTATCAGTTTCTCTACTTGTAATAGAGTTTGTAAGCGAACAGCATGGATCCTGATCAGACTGCGCGGATGCACAGGCTGGTCTGGATCCATGCTGGTCGCAAATGCACTATGTTGGTTTTGTCGTGACGCGGCTCATTTATAAACCTAACTATAGGAACATGATAGTCCTCAATTTCATCACCTGAGATCCATTGCTTACAAAATTCATATTTTCTTCCATGCATAAGTGGTTCAGTAAGTGAACAATACCCATGAGTGTTACTTGAAATTTCAAAATTACTTCCCTTGTTTATCTTTGTTATTCAAGAGAACTGCAGGGCAAATGAAAGTCTTTTGCAGAAGTCAACTTACCAATGCTGCATGTCAAAACTTTGAGCCATGAAGTTTATCAAAAGAGGAATTCTAAAGGTGTTTTCCCTTATAAGACTATAGAAACTAAGGGAAGTTTAATAAAAATGGATATAAATATATCCATATAAAACTATGGAAACTAAGGAAAGCCCAAGGTAAGGCCATTTTATACCCTTTTGTAAAAGTTACTGTATATGAAATACCTGAATTTTTACAGCGTTTTATTGAGATTATCAAAGTTTTCCTTATGTACATGGGAATGCTGGGAGTAAACCAAGCATCCTGTGGCCGTGTTTTGATCAAGTCCAAATAATTTGAACAAAAGTAATAGATAGTCACCAGACGATCATCTCTGTAAAATAATATCAAAAATCTGACGAGCATCTTTTGACAAGAAGAGTCTTTTAGGTTTTTCCTTTTTTTTTTTTGGTTGTATGGAATGAACTTTTTTTAATAACTACAAAAGATCATTTACTACATAATAATGAGTGATTTGTCACAATTAACAATTTTGATTAACAAATACAGGTCATTACTTGGTTTGTTTGTTTTGTTGGATTTTAACGACACACACTGTTAAGGTCATACTTTGCCTTTACTAGTGGAAGAAGACCTCAGATGTCCCTTCTTGCATTATTGTTGGCACATGTGGGCATCTATGTAGAACCACTGACCTTATTTAAGCTAGCTGGGTAACTTAACTTCCTCACATGAAAGGATCCAATGTCCCGGACGGGATTTGATCAAACCAACAGCAGTGATACCAATTTAAATTAATTTAAAGTAGATGACCTTATACTTAAACCACCTGGGCACAGATTCTCTCATTACACACTATACGGTATAATCAAGTGAATTTGTAAGGTGATAACTAAAAGCCTTTTTCAACAAGAAATCTATCTACTGCAGTGTAATTTCTGAAAACAGAACACCTGTGAAACTAGCCAAAAAGTTCCGAATTTGACAGTTTCTGGAATTCAGAATGATCTGAGCAAGAAGAAACATTAAACATCAGTTGTTTACGTATGAAATAATAAAACTAGAACCCCGCGAGTCGGATGTGTCGCCTTGTGAACAATGTAGTTTAGGGGAAATGGCCAGAACAAAAATTAAATATGAAAAATAACAAAGGGCAATAACTGAAAAAATAAGTGCAGAGCAGCAGTTTCTGTACACTGCAGTTCTTATCAATAACATCTATCATTCTATGATGTTTCAAGTCCATAGCTTTCATACTTGAGGAGAAATGACCAGGACAAAAATAAAGTATGAAATTTAACAAGGGCCATAACTCAAAAATTAAGAAATGCAGAGTACCGATTCTTGTGCACTGCACTTCTTAATAATGAGATGTATCATCCTATGAAGTTTCAAGTCCATAGCTTTTATACTTAAGGAGAAATGGCCCAGACAAAATTTAAGTATGAAAATAAACAAAGGGCAATAACTCAAAAAATAAGAAATGCAGAGTACCAGTTCTTGTGCACTGCACTTCTTCTTAATGAGACCTATCATCCTATGAAGTTTCAAGTCCATGGCTTTTATACATTAGGAGAAATGGCCCGGACAAAAATAAAGTATGAAAATTAACAAAGGGCAATAACTCAAAAATTAGGAAGTGCAGAGTACTGGTTCTTGTGCACTGCATTTCTTCATAATGAGATCTATCATCCTATGAAGTTTCAAGTCCATAGCTTTTTTAGTTGAAGAGAAATGGCCCGGACAAAATTAATGTATGAAAATTAACAAAGGGCAATAACTCAAAAAATAAGACCTGCAGAGTACCGGTCCTTGTGCACTGCACTTCGGGTTATTGAAAGAAGCATGCATACCAAGTTTGAAGTCAATCAGACTTATAGTGACTGAGTTATGCTCCGGACAAGCTTCAGGGGACGCCGACAACGACGCCGACAACGACGCCGCCGCCGACACCGCCGACGAGAGTAACCCCTATATGTCACCTTTTCAAGGCGACACAAAAAATAATCTGAAGCCGGTTGAATTCATAAAATTCATTTTGATGATTTTACAATCTCAAGTACAAATTATTCCTTCACACTTTTTTTTTAAATTTCTAGATTTTGGAAGTAAATTTTCATTGATATCACTTAAATTTTACCAGAAAATCGTTCAGAATTCAGAAGCTCTGTAATTCAGAGGTATCAATTGCATAGAAAACAGAGGGTGAAATTTCAGGACCCTGAAAAATGAATTCACTAGATTATTGGCAGTGATGACGAAAGTTCCATGAACTAAATGGCTGTGTGTTGTGGACACGAATTTATTCCAGCAAAATGTTTCCCCACAGTTCCCGTAATTTTTTGTTTACAGTTAAAACAGACGCTCACTTTACAGTTCCAACAATGTATATGATTGCTAGCGGTCTCTTTAATATTGACCTGCTTACATGCTGAGCATCTGAAACTTCGATTCCGTAATTCCGGGTTATCCTTGAGTCGGTCATTTATCTGCTTTCCCTACAAAAAAAGATAGAAAAATAAAACGCATATAATTATTACTAAATAAAATATGCATATATTTATGAAATGTACATAAATATCTTACTTTAATTCTAATACGTGTCTGGATAATCATTAGTTTATTAGCATCCAAGAATAGTTAATAATAACTTGAAAATAAGATTGCATAAAAAATTATTAATTATTTCTTGCTGAAAAGCAGATCATTTCAGATTTTTATTTTTACCAGGACATATATTATCTCTGGGAAGCCTCCGGGACAATCATCTGTTTTCAGGGACAGTCCGGGATGTCCAAGACGTTATGGCATGTATGTAAAACTTTTAAAGGGTATGATGAAGAAAATCTGACATTAGATTATGTAGTAATTACACAAGTTTTACACAGTGCTTAATATCAAAACTAAAGGAAAGGCTAATTATTAGTACTTTATTTTTATTCTAAAAACAGAACACATAACTTTCCTAAGATACAAGGAAGAAAATCTTTCATTAATTTATGTAGGCAAAGGATATAAATACAATCATGTACCCCTCAACAGGTGGTCCTTGACATTAATTTATAATGAGGGTAATGTTCAAGATGTTATCTGGAAGCCTGCAAATGTGGGTTTTTTTCCCCATTTTATCTCAAGGTACAAACACACTATTACCAGTATAGCTTTACAGTACAAAACCCTTCACAATAGAATGATCCTTCCAAGTTGTCCTTTCATCAGTTCATGTACAAAGATGTAAATGCTTATCTTATTTGTATCCCAGAATTTTATGGGAAAAACCAACATGATAATATGGGAAAAACCAACATTTGCCGAGTTCCAGGGTATCGCCATTATGAGGAATCTTAGTTTAAAGTGTATAAAGCTATATATCTGATACAAAAATTATTGTTTGGATTTTAAACAATACTGCCAACATGCTTGTATGAAATAAATATGGTAATAAATTGCCATAAAGTGAGTGGCACATGCACAAAATCATTGCTAAACGGATAAAACTCCAATTTGAAATAGCAAAATATTTTGTTCCGGAACATTATATTCTGTTTATGTACATTATTCATGCGTGTTAAATAACAGGGACATTCTATGTTACAACTTTTTCAGGAATCAACCATTTATAATAAAACCAAAATAATTTACTGTTGAGAAAAATTTTATAAAAAATATTTCACAAGATATAGCTTTAAACCCTTTAATGTTAGTGTAGGTTGGAAAATCATAATAATATATTCTTGCTTTCTGAATAACAAATATTTGCTTCAACAAATAAATTAAACTGGATGCAATTCAATCAATATTGAATTTGCTTATCAATCATTGTGAAATTCAGACAAAGTTTTTTGCTTTTTTTCATTACTTAACAAATAAAATGAAGAATGACTTTTAAAAACTTTATCATTTATAATCATATACATCAGAGAAATGGGGATAGAGATTTCAATGTACACGCATCAGTTTTGTTAATTAGACCATTACCTTTGTTCTCTTATACCCCTAAATCTAAAAATCTAGTGATAGTTAAATTTAGTGGCCGCATGACCAAGTAGATAACTCGTCACCACTAGTTATCTTAGGATTGCTGGCTATGTTACTTTGCATAAAGATTTACACTTAAAATTTCTTTTTCCTTTTCATTTTGCTTGTCAAATATCTGCCCTTTCCAGAGTACTCTTTTTTAACACTTGTTAAATGAATTAATAATAATTAATAAATACCGTAGTATTGGGTAAAGCATTTCTCAGGACACGTTGTGCCGCTGCGTTGATTGGCAGAAATCCGTGATGTTCTGGCTGCCTTATATCTGTATTATCAATTAAATCTTCTTCAAAAGTAAATGTGTTGCATTTTGGAGAATCGGCGAAGTGCTTATAGCCATCAATTTGTTTCTCGCAGATGTAGCACATTGATGTACTACAATACGTGCATACTACTTTATTACAACTGAAAAATAAAATGTCGAACTAAATGAAATGTTAACTGATAAAATCAATAAATGTTCTTGTAATTACAAATGTTTATATCATTATAAACTGCCGGTCATAAAACTTGGCAATTAACGATGAACATGTAAAATGTTTATGCCAATAAACTTGTTGACATTTAAATTGACTTGATATTTAGTCTGTACACTAAGCTCAATAAGGACCGCACTGGATTAGTTATCCAGGGGTCACCTAAGTTTGATCCTCTGCCCAGGTGTAATTTCTCTGTGACAACAGATTTCCAACATCGAGTCTAATTGGACAATTGTCTCTTACCGCTACTTAGAGCTTATTTGGGATATTAGTACCCGCTAACTTGTGAAGAAATAGATAACTACATGTACTGGTTAGTTATCCAGAATAGCCACTTAAGTGGATCAACTACATAGCTGATTTAAAGCATGTGTTTAAATTGGATTAAAAACTAGTAAAAAATAGAAATGTGTCGTCATGCCACGGATGCCCCCCCATGCAACCAAAATTTCAGATGTTATAATAATTAGTTCCAAATTTGTTTGCACAAATTATTTTTTTCATTTTAAGTTCAAAGCCCTTAAAACTATTCAATGTTAACACTATCCATTTTTATACAAAGTTCAAGGCACTGAATATAATACTTTTACACTGTTCTGTAAAGTATGTTTTGTTTGTTTGTTCTGGGCTGGTGGCCTATGAATACAACGGCAAGAAAAATAATTGACATCTTTTTTTAAGATGGCCCATGGGTTTTTCAGCTCAACAGAACATAGATATGGTTAACCAGATAGTGTTGAAAACTTTGCAGTGGTTTCAAATATTACTTAGTGGCTGGGCCGATTTCCCAGGAATTTGGATCAACTAGATAAACTTGTTTTTCACATATCTTTCTTGCAGCTACATATACTTATTTACCCAAGAGAAATTACCTGGAGTTAAAATTTTATGATGTTAACAAAATGTTTGAAACAGTTTCCCAACATCATACACTCTATAACGGACAGATTCAGAAGGAGGGGGAGGTTTGGGGATTTATGATCACACCCTGGGATTTGGCTAGTATATCATCAATTTCTGTGCGTTTAATATCAACTGAAGCTTTTTAGTGAAAATCTTGCCAAAGCTAACAGTATTATACTCTCCTTTTGAGAAGAATATTAAAATTTGACTTCTGACCCACTCTGGAAAACTAATAAAATACCAAACTTCTTCTGGAGTCTTCCCTTGCAAAAATTTTGCGACCAATGCTGATATTAACTAGAAATGTGTCCTACACCCCCCCAACACCCCACTGTCTACGACATACAGCAAGACAATATGACAGAGGGAAAGACAAAAAGAAATTCTACATGACTACCCTGTATCAATAGTGATTGGGGCATCAAAACAACATCCAATCAAACTGACTTTTGCACAACTACACATGTTGGCCAAGAGTTTAATAAACTTTCATGACTTAAGATAAAATACTTTTTGAGCTACACATCCCACAATTTGAACATTGCCAATTTATAATAAGTCAAGGGCAATAACTCTTACAAAACTTAAATTGTCCACATTCAAAACAAGTTCACATGCATATCAACATTGCTGTAAAGTTTGTTGATTTTAGCACAAGCATTTTTAGTGGTACACATGACACAAACTGTTTTGTCAATGGCACTTGCTCTACAAATTCTGTTCAAATATACAAGAAACCCCCAAGGTGCACAACTACACATGCTGTCTAACCTTCCTGTGAAGTTCAATGACTCTAGGTCATATACTTTTTGAGCTATGCACGACACAAATTAAAAATTGCCCATTTTTACTAAGTCAAGGGCAATAACTCTGAAAAAACTGAATAAATCTACATGCAAACCACAGGTGTACATCTTTACATGCTGATCAACATTACTTTAAATTTTGTTGACTCGAGCTCAAACATTTTTAGAGCTACATGCCACACAAAAAGAGAACCCACAGATGGACAGACAAGGGCAAATGTAAATGGGGGGCACAAAAATTCTGGATTTATGCCTTCCAAATCTTTCCTTCTAGTAAAAACCAATTTAACTTATAATCATTGTTTTCCTTAAACAGTATGATAATAATGAAGTGTTCTTACCCTCCTGTCTTCATTATAGGCGATGTACATTTCGGACATCTTTTAGTCATTTTTCTAATATACATTTTGCTGTGCTTATTCTGTCGCTCCTGCTCAAGTGTCTTTATTATATACTCTTTTCTTCTCACGTCTTTCTCGTCAATTTCTGGTAATTCATCAGAAACATCTTCATCACCTTTACACTTTTCACCCTATAATACAACAAATGAGACGTGCCAAGACAAAACCAACATAGTGTGTTTGCGACCAGCATGGATCCAGACCAGCCTGCGCATCCGCGCAGTCTGATCAGGATCAATGCTGTTCGCTTACAGACCCTATAACAAGAAAAAGAAACTGATAGCGAACAGCATGGATCCTGATCAGACTGCGCTGGTTGGTTTTGTCGTGACGAGGCTGAAATATCATTATTATTTGTGGGGAGCTTATTTCCATGGTTTTCGTGAATTGATGTTTTTGTGGATAGGTGAATCCCCGAATTTGAAATCCAACAAAATGAAGCTGTAAGATTATTTTGCATGACATTATTTACATTTTACCCTTTGGAAAAATAAAAAGTCCACAAATTTAAGAGCCACGAAAATGTTCTTTGTGACAAACCACGAAATTTCATGCCCACAAAAATTCACAGTACAAACTATAGTATTATAATTCAAATTTTACAATCTTACACCTCTAATCATTTCCTTCAAAACAAAATAATTGTTACGCATTAACCTTTACCAAACTAAATATCATAAATAGACTTGTCCATCTTTCAATCTGGACAAAACCATTCATCATTTTAGGGAAATTTGTAAATATGTACTGAGTGAATTAGTAAACAGTGCTGACCATGATCAGATAGGTCAATCTCAGGTTTTTCATTGGTCAGTGCACATTCTGACATCCAATCAAATACCTGAAAGGCTAAAACCTCAGTTTGAGTTTAGAAAATTTTATAATAACCTCGATCCCAGAAAAGAATACAATTTTAATATTGGCTGACCCTGATTTCATTGGTAACGTTAATTTTTAGATATAAGTGTATATATTACTTAAAACATCCTTCAGCTTTTCTAAAGGTTAAACATTGTTATTTTTAGATAAATCGTTTCATATAATTGTCAAATCAAAAATATTGAAGTGTCAAAAAAATTTTACGTCAAGAAAAAAAAAAAACAATAAGGAAACCCCTTGATACGTTTAACCTACCAGTCTGGTCACTATATGTTAATTAATAAAGCCGACGATTTGTTTCCCGATTTTCTATATTAAGACACAACATTACTGACATGCTATAAGGAAGATGTTTTAAGACATAACAGTGATATGAAGCATTTTTTCAGGATAAAATAACTAAAATACTTAGTTTGAAATAATGCAGAATGGTTTTTCCGACTAAAAAATAAAAGGTGAAGGCTTTAAAAAAGATTTCACAAAATGTTTATGGAATCATTTAACTAAGATTCTTAAATACAAATGTTACAGTTCCTTTTAGTTATACTTCTTTTCCCTCTTATAATCAAGTTATTTATTATGGAAATTTGTAAAACATTTTTGCAGTAAAACATCTGAATTGGGCTATGTCAGAGGATATAGAAATTCTGTTTGTTCGTTTTATTAGGTTTAACGTCACACTGACACAGTTTATGTCATTAAGTTGACGTTCCAGCTTTACTGGTGGAGGAATACTTTAGGTGCCCTTCCATGCATTATTTCAGGCACGAACGGGCACCTGAGTAGAACCATCGATGTTCTGTTAGCTAGCTGGATGGCTTCCTTACTTGAAAGAATTCAAAGTCCCTGACGGGATTCGAACCCACAGCGCTGAGGGGCAAGTGGTAGAAATTCTGTAAACTCAAAACCTGAACCTTTGATATTCATAGAATTGAGACAGAGATCAGACATAACAGGTTTCCACTCAAACCCAACACTGGGCTTTTGATGTCACTGACCTGATGCCATTTATCCATACAATCTGTGCAGAAAGTAAAGAAGCATGCCATGCACTGAGCCAGTTTCAAACCTTGGTCTGGTTCCACAATCACAGGACTATTACATCTTGGACACCATTTTACATCTCCCATTGTCTCCAGTGATTTCTACAAATACAATTCACATGTATATCACTAACATATCCTTTTAATTAGTTTATTTTGGCTTTGTCATTTTAGTTTGTTTTGATCTTATCACCTATTTTATGACATTTTTTGTCATATCCCGGGAGCTAGTCCACCTAACCAGTTCCCTGGATAACTAACCAGTAATCATCAATTTTTCAGTAAGTGACCGGCTACTTTAATAATCCCTAATCTGACATGATTTCTAAATCTGCCCTGAGGATAAAATGACCATTAGACTCAATGTTCTTGATTGATTGTCAATCAAGGAGAAATTTTGTCCTCGCCCAAGAATCAAACCAGTCACCCCTGGATTACAAATTCCATGCTCTCCCTGTTAATTTTAGCTAAGTGGGTACATTCTCATTTCAGAATATGTTATTCATATACTAAGGAGTGCAGACTATGAACTGTCTACTCTAAACCACGAGCCTGTACTTTTATTTTGATTATCAACTAAAATCAAAATGTCGTGAAAATTTAGTGTGTGTCATTACTTTATTAAGTTTTCCATCTGTTCACACCTCATTCTATTCTAACCAATCTGCCCTGATTCATCTGCAAACATGTACACAGAACATGCTACTTATAGTGGCAAAATTTTAAATTATTTCAATCTGTGAAATTTTAAAACTTAAGAAAATCATACAAAATTAGGTATACATACAACTAATGACAAAGATTCAAATCTTGAAAACTCTTCCTCTGTTAGCACTTCCTTCAGTATGTATGGTGGAATGAATGCTTTACACATAGGGCAACTAAAATACAGAAGAAATTTTGCACATATTAATATTTACAATTACTTTTTTGATTTTTTTTCTGTAATTTAGGATTCCCAGGCATTATCCTGCTGGGTCTGAAAATGATAACCTTTTGCTACCAGTATAAAGCCAGGCCAGCCTGCACATCCGTGTAGTCTAACCAGGCTCTATACTGTTAGCAGGCCAGCTTAAAATTTTCATATTGATATCATTAAAATTTATAATGTTAAGTTCCAAAATTTTGTAAGCTGGATAAGTCCCTTTAAGATGTTCAGCAAGTTGTATATCAGGGGCGTCCGTGGCTGAGTAGTGAAGATCCTTGACTTCATACCAGTTGCCCCTCACTGCTGTGGGTTAAAATCCCACAAAGACTTTGTATTCTTTAATGTGAGGAAGCTATCCAGCTAGCTTACAGAACATTGGAGATTCTACTCAGGTGCCTGTTTGTGCCTGAAATAATGCACAAATGAGCCCCTGAGGTCTTCCTCCACCAGTAAAGCTGGAAAGTCTGCCATATGACCTTTACTTTGTTAGTGTGATGTAAAACTCAGGAATGTGAAATTTTCCTGAAATATATAGGTTCATTTTCTTAGATTAGGTTTATTTCAGTATAGAATACACATACACGAACATTTAAAACAACATGTATCATGTACAAACATATACATGAGAATAAATAAGCCATGTCACATGCACACTAGCACCATGGAAAGCACAAAAAATCTACCTCAGCAGTGCCTGGACAGCGATGATGACAGTTGATCCCTTGACAATGAGTGTTAGCGTGCTGCAAGTTTTGACCATAAATTGCACAGATTTGGCAGTTTTTATTGCACAATTCCTGCAGTATTCACCTATATACACAGTGATGGTGAATTAGTGATATTTTTCTTTTCTTTGCATAATAAATCATAACATCATGATCATCTGGGAATTGTAGGAAGATATCAATTATGCACCTTTGTACCTTATTACAGGCATAAGAGAGGTGATGAGAAGAACCAAAGACCTGCCATATGTTAGCTGAGAAGTTTCCTTAAATAAAATATTTGAAAGTCCCTAGTTGGATTCCAACCAACAGCAGTGTGGGTATTACGTCAATAAAAATATAACCAGTACCTTATCTGAAGAACAGATCCCTCCTTTACCAAAAGTTGACAGTGAGAACCTAAACACTCCTTACATATATGGTGGCCACATTCAGGAAGCAGGAAAAAGTTGTGGCCAAAATTTTGCTCGAAGCATATATTACATTCCTGAGTGGATTTGCGAAATACCTTCATCTGTTCCTGTCTGTTAAACCTGTAATATAATCATACATTCTGATCATTCTTCAAACTTAAAAAAAATTCAAGCGGTGGCATGGCCCAGTAGTTAGTTTGCCAGATAAGAATGATAAGAATTGCTTACCCCGTTTGTTCAAACCCACATCAGGGAAAAGCTGTTGCTGTTTCCTTTAGCAAGAATATTTACACTCATTGCTTAGAACTGAGAGTATAAGCTTATAGCTGCCAACACAAGCAAACTAAATAAAACAAATTTCACAGTCATATTAATTTCTGAGGAATAATGGGCCTTTAAGATAGGCAAGAAATTAGGTTGAATTTGAGAGAAACACTTGCCTCATCATTTCAGTGACTATACTGTTGAGATCTTCTGTTTCTATAGCAACCCTGCAGTCATCTGTTTCCTCATCTATAACATGTGATGTCACTGACAACTGAATGTCAATTCCCAATGTCCTGAAAGAAAACATATTTACCTTTCAATGACACTAATATTTAATAGATTCTCCCTAAGATGTCACATACAGCTAATATTTAATAGATACTCCCTCTGATGTCACATAAAACTAATATTTTAAAGATACTCCCTCAGATGTCACAAAAAGCTAATATTTAATAGACTCCCTCAGATGTCACATGAAGCTTATATTTAAAAGATACTCCCTCAGATGTCACATCAAGCTAATATTTAATAGATACTCCCTATGATGTCACATAAAGCTAATATTTAATAGATACTCCCTCAAATGTCACATGAAGGTAATATTAAATAGATACTCCCTCAGATGTCACATAAAGCTAATATTTAATAGATACTCCCTCAGATGTCACATGAAGCTAATATTTAATAGATACTCCCTCAGATGTCACATGAAGCTTATATTTAATAGATACTCCCTCAAATGTCACATGAAGGTAATATTAAATAGATACTCCCTCAGATGTCATAGGAAGCTAATATTTAATAGGTACTCCCTCAGATGTCACATGAAGCTAATATTCAATAGATACTCCCTCAGATGTCACAAAGCTAATGTTTAACACTGCACTATCATAACAGGCGACTAAATAGATCTACATTACTGGAGTCTATGCATCTATTAGCACCAGCAGGTGAGGTGATTTTGACCACTGGTATTGCTTAAAATTTGTAACAACAGGGGTTAGGCAAAATCATCTTCCCTGTTTCATCGCCATATGACCTTAACTGTGCCATAAAACCAAACAAAAACTATAAGGAAAAGTAGGAGTATTTTTTCAGCATCACTGACCTTGACCTAATTAGATGTCAAGGTCTACAGAAGGTACATGTACCACTTTAGATATCTGAGTCAGTAGGTGAAGTCAATATAAGTTCAATCTGATTAAAATCAGGTCTAAATAACCCTCCGTTTTTATATCTGACCATGACCAAATACGAAATCATTTCTGGTGACCTTTCACACAGCCAATCATTGGCAAGCTGTCATAATTTTGAAAGTGATGTGGTTTCTAATTTTAACCCTGGGAAAACCAATACTGCAATAATTTTCACGATTTCGAGAACAAACATGGCGTTGTCCATAAAGTTTACAGGTAAACTGGCAAAACAATCTTGCTCATCAAAAATTGACACTATTCTAATGTCTATGTAAAAACCGGTTTGATTGCATGGCTAAAAATAGCTTTCTCGGGAAATCCAAATTATACAGATGGCGAAACAATTATACAGTACAGATGGCGAAACAATTATACAGTCGTCATCAGATCTACATAAAAGAATTAAGTAAATCCTGAACTATAAGATCAGATATAAGTTCTGACTCATGCACAAACACACATATTCTCTCCAATCTCAATGCGCTTGTATTCTATAATTGTGAGCATTTTCAACAAGAATCACTTAAATAGCTTCCTTGTTGTTTTCCTTGAAAAGAATGACAGATGAAAAGCCATTAAAATACATAACTCTTAAATCATTGAAAAAATTGTGTGCTACTTTGCACGCTTCCTCTTTGTACTGAAGTGTCCATTTAAGTTTTACTGTATTCTGAATTCAGTTTTTGCTATGAAACAGTCCAGACAAAAATTACAGCAGTGGAATTGTAGTGTTTTCCCCAATATTTTAAAGCCAAATAAATGCTGTTCCCCTTGCTGCAGACAGTTTTATTTTCACTTTAAATGTTTATAATTTTCACCTAAAATGACATGT